ACAGGGTGTCGCGGCGCGAGGGTGCTACGACCTGACCCAGCACCAGGAGGCGAGCGGCAAGTCGATGGAGTACTTCGACGAGAGGAGCAAGACCAAGTACGTGCCCCACGTCATCGAGCCGTCGCTGGGGGTGGACCGCCTCTTCCTGGCGGTGATGGTGTCTGCGTACCACGAGGACGAGGTGCGTGCGTACGTACGTGTGTACAAAATGCAAGGACGGCAGCAGCAGCGGCAGCAAATAGCAGCAATAGCAGCAGCAGCAGTAGGAGCGGCGACAATAGCAGCAGCACCGGCAGCAGCAATAGCAGTAGCAGCAGCAGCAGCAGCTGTGTGTGGTGTTGTGTTGTGCTGCTGTAGCGTAGTCTCAATCCAGCTGAGCGTGGGAGGACAACAGTCGCTCAATCTGGCAGACACAGTGTAGACAAGCAAACAGCAGCAGCAGCAGCAGCAGCTGTGTTGTGTAGCGTAGCCTACCCCACTGAGCGTGGGAGAAAAACACGCAGTCGATAGTGACTCTCTCGGGAGTGATTTTTTTCGCCGGGGGTACGTGAGCTGTTGCGCCTTTCGTTGTCAAGGCGTTGGCGCACTCACGACGCAGACGGTGTAGATTAAACACAACGATCACGTCTCGCGGTTGGCCCCTTCTGAGCGTGCGTCAGGGCGAAAAAGCCAACCACCAGGCAACACAACCGACTGAGTGACCTCTGATTTAGCGATCCACCTCGAACCCCTGGCCCCCAAACGCATACATGCTTGAACTGTCGGTGGAGAGAAGCGCATGCTACTCCACTTCCACAAACGAATGACCCCCATCAGGGTAGGTGGCCGTGATCCCCCTTGTGACCTTTAGCGACTTGCTTTGAAACTACGTCACCCCCCCCAACCACCCCCCACTCAAAGGTCGGAGGAGACAAGCGCACGCTACTTCGCTTCCACCCACGAATGGCGCCCATCAAGGTGGCGGTGTTCCCCCTGGTGAAGAACAAGCCTGAGCTGATGGAGAAGGCCAGGGGGATCTACGAGACGATTCGGCTGAGACACAACGCCTTCTGGGATGTCTCCGGGGCCATCGGTGAGAGCGAGACAAAAAGAAAAAAAGGGGACGTACTGTAAGGACACCAAGACATGGCGTAAACACCACTGTTCAAGCAGGCCTTGCGGACTAGACAAGAGGAGTGTACCAAGAAACAGCGTAACACTACCATCATTTTCCGAGAATGTTGGATATGGAAGTGTTCAAAACAGGCTATGAGGATCGTGGGTGACACGATGAAGAGCTGCTGTTCTCAAGGGGGTATTGACACAACGGCCCCCCCTCCCTACGCGTGTAATCCTCACAACACGCGTGTCAACTCTTCAAATAACAGTTGTGTGGAATGCTGTCACGTGTTGGCGTCTCTTCACTTTCTTTTGTTTTGTTTTGTTTCGTATTGTTTTGTTCGCACGCAGGTCGAAGGTACCGCCGAATGGACGAAGCCGGAACTCCCTTCTGCGTTACGGTCGACTTCGAAACGCTCGAGGGAGACGGAACCGTAACCGTGAGAGAGAGGGACAGCACCGAGCAGACGAGAGTGCCGGCCGACGAGTTGCTCGGATTCTTGTCCAAGGCGATAAACGGTTACTAAATTTCGTTTAGTCGACACAGCAGTGTCGCCAGCGAGCCTCGTGTCCGAACAACTGGTTGACACATGGGTCGTGTAATTTGTTGGGTGCTGGGTATTGTACGCAATAGGGGTACCAACTAGCGTTGGTGTGTGTCGCCGTGGTGTTTCGTGAGTTTTTTTTTTTTTCTCTCAACGGCGGATTACTGATTTCGAGGTATCTTAGGCCGCTACTCCAACCATCGCGTCTTGTTCAGTCAGCCTTGCGGAATTAAAATCCACGAACACAAGCACGTAAAAGATGGTTTTTGAACAGGACCTCTTTGGTTGACTCCTTGAAAAGCCCCCCCTCCCCCCACGGAACGCTTGGACGGCGGTGATCGGTCCTGTGGGAACAATACTCCGTCCGCTCGAGGACACGTGGTCAATGATCTAACCGCTAAGGCATGAAAAACAAAGAGCCCCCCCCCCCGCGTGAGGGAAGAACAGGATCTAAGGAAAGAAACCAAGGATAAGGAGGGTCTAGAAGTGTACGGAATGTTGAAAGAAGGAATAGGGTTCAAGGATTACCTACATGGACCAATGGATGCAGGGACAAAGCTTAAGGTCAGGACCGGGGACACAGGCCTTCGAGAACGTCGACGAAGACATAGGACGGTAGACGACGAAGACGACAAGTTCAAATGTGATTGCGGCTTCGAATGCGAAGACCGTGTTCATGTAGTCGCGGAATGTCCGTGGTACGAAGAGGAGAGGGAAGTGTACATGACTGAGCTGGGAAAAATACAAGGGACGTACAGGGAGATGTTTGAGGCATGGAATAGAGAGGAGAGGACGGCAGCTGTACTGGGGAGTAGAAAGTGGTTTGAAAAGGCGGGAAGGAATATCGTTAGGATAGATAGATTAGGGAAGACATTTTTGACCCCCCTTGGCCAAAGTAGGAAGGAACGATTGGCCATCGGTGATGGGTCCTGTGGGAACAACGCTCCGTCCTCTGGAGGACGCGTGGTCAATGGTCTAACCGCTAAGGCATCCAAAACATAAGAGTACCCCCCCCCCCCGCGTGAGGGTGGCGCAACTACCCCCCCCCAACCAGACGAACACACCATCCGGTTTTCATGTTCTTGTCCGGCGGCCCCCCTTCTCCCTGCATCTCGGGTTTTGCTCATCATGTCCTCGCACCGCACGTCGCCCGTTCGCAGCAACTATCGCTACGCCGAGATTGTCCCGTAGCCATACGTACGTGAAAACTACAAACCTGAAACGGGCCAAACGTGCTGCCCACCGCAAGAATATCAACACCGCACAAAACAACCCCATTCATACCGGTTTCATGGTGTTTGCAAGCGCGTGCCGCAAAAAAACTCCCCGTAACGCCTCTTAAACAACTAAAAATCGCTCCTTGTTAGCGCCTCCCACCGATGAACAAGAACGCCTCCGTATGTTTTTTTTTTTACCCCTCGCGCTCCGCCTTGCACTTGGCGAAGCATGCCGAGTCGAGCAGCGTGCAGTCGGCACAGTTCCACGGGTGCGGCTTGTTGCGGATCTTCATGTACGACGGCTGCGGGATATGGGTTTCCGAACGGCAACAACATCCACAAGTGAAGAGAGTAAGAAAAGAGTGACGGACAAGCGCAGGAGTACGTAAAGGCACCGTAGAGATGGGGAACGAGATCCGTTGTGTGAAAAGTGGCTTACAAACATGGCGAACCAATGAGGGAGTGCATAGTGTCGCCATGTTTGATGGTTCGTCAATGGCTTCAAAAAAAGCAAAGGGTGTGTACGGATGAGAATCTACTGATCTGCTGGTCACAAAAGAGGAGTTACACGCAAGACTGACCCAAACAAACAAACAAGGGGTAGATAGATTGTATGTGCCAGCCTCATGTGTGTCACACTTCTTTCACAGCCATGTGTCGCCAAGATCGCCCTAACTCGTGCCACTACATCATCGCCCGAGAAGCAGGAGCCACGAAACGAATACTTGGTACAAGAAAAAAATCCTTGCTATGCATATACACCAAAATACAAACACACTACAACATTTTTATATCTCCGCTTCACGACCAGAAAATAACCAATAAATCGGAAAAACTTCCCTGTCCGAATCAGAGCTAAGTCTTGCACTCCTGTCTAGTACACCCACAAACCAAAAAAGAAAAAACAAAGTGAGAAATTCTTACAATGGGGGCGTCTTCGTCCCTGTGGTGGTGCTCCTCGGTGGCCAGCACCAGGGTGGTCACGGCCAAGCTCAAAACCCCCATGCCGGCCGTCATCTTTTTCCACTTGGCCATCTCCTCTGTTTCGGCACGCACACAACGCGTAGGGTTCGAAAAAAATTGCCAGAGAAGGGGGAGAAATTGGTTGCTTGGATTATCGGCTGATCACGCGCGCTTTCAATTCCGGCTTCTCGCACCATAGGGGAGAAACCCGATTTCCATTCGGGTGCTATTTGGCGGCGTGGTTGTTGCCCCGATTGCTTGCGCAAGTTTTGGCTTGGCTTAATTCATGGCCAAGCGCAACAGCAGACCTGAAATGAGGAAGGAAGCTGTATGGTAGTTTTTCGCTCGAGATTGAAGGCTCGTGTAGTGGTGAAAGGGTAACGCGCCGGACCTTGCTTACCCGCATCGGCGTCGACATCCCCGCCTGATTGCCAAGCCACCACCGCCAACAACAAGAACTACTCCTACTGGAGTATACAACAACAACAACAACAACAACAACAACACCACTACCACCCAACACCAACTACAACACCACACCAGCAACAACAACAGAGTCCACGTTCCATTCCAAGCGGTGTTTGCTCGTCGGCTCACCGGCTGCGTGTGCGGCGTCGCCGCTCATGCTGCGACGGGCCGAAGAAGCCGCCGCCGCCGCCGGCCGCCGTACCGCCGCCCTCACAAGCGCAGAAACCTGGGACGAGTCGGACAGAATTCAAAAGCACGAGAGGGAGGCTCAGGGGTGAGAGAAAAATTGTGTGTCCGAAGGAACAGGGGGCATGGGGTGTGCTACTGCTTGCGGAATAGTTGACACATCAACGGGGGACGAAACTGTCCCTAAATAAAAAATGACGGCTGCAAGCAGCAACATCTTTGTTATCACACGCCCAAATGAGACGATGTGTTGGCGGCAATTTTTTTTTCCGGCGGCGAAGGCGTGGGTGTAAAGGCCACACGATGGAATATTGGAATACCCTCGACAGCTTGGTAGTGCTATTCTAACACCGTTGAGAGAACCGTCGAACATGTGTTCGACGCGGGGGAATCGAGAGAGCCAACACAGACAAGACACAGAGAGAGAGAGAGCGAGAGCGGGAGAGAGGGCGAGAGGAGAGAGAGGGCCTTGCATGGCAGTACAACAAAGGAGGACTGTGCTCTCCCGGGTTTCCCGAGCTCGTGCTTCCCACAACAAAGAGCTTGTATACCAACACACCTTTGGAAATATCTCGACTGCGTGTCTACGACAAGCTTTGGGTGGGGTGACCAGTACCACATGCACCCCCTCCCCCCTTCAACACTCAGCGCAGGCGCCCAGCAGTATTCGCCCGACGACCACGACTAGAGCAGGAGATGTTGCATCTCTGCACTCAACAAATACCAACGTCCCTCCATCCTCTTTGAATGGGCACTGTTCCCACCACCGGTTGTGGAGCGCTAACAGGGTGCCCGTTGTCGGCTATGTTGAAACAAAGGCTACTCAAGGCAACTTCAAAAGGTGGGAGTTAGTTATCTGCACACCGCTTTAGAGCCCAGCACAGCATGGCTGCTGAGGCTTGTATGCAGTTGTGCTTATGACCCACTTTATTGGTAAAGGCCTTACGGTTGCTATACTACGCGAAACGGGTCAACACTGAATCCTCGCAGCACTACGGATGCTGTGTGTTCTGTGCTTCCCATGCTATGGGAGCTATCTGTCATCAAGTGACTGCCCATCGGGCATGCGTGGTGGGTAGGTTGCACCGCTTGTGCGCGACCCCCCACGTTCTCGCAGTGGGAAGACCTGAACTGCAAAAGCGGCTTGAGATATCTGTGCACGTGTCTCGACCGCCTACACATGCTCGAGCCCGTCCTTTGACTATCCCCGGAGAGGGATCGAGGGAAAGGAGAGTTGCAACAGCACTGCACACCACCCTTCGGTGGTTGCGGTGCATATGCTAATTCGGGTGTGACGGGAGGCGCAACCCAGCAGCAACGACAGGATGAAAGCACATTAAACACACTCTCACACGAGCCGGTAAACTTTGCCTGAATCTATCTCACCATGATGATTGCGAAACACGAGTAGACCCTCTTCCTCTCGCCCTTTCGCTCGCTATCTTCCTTGCGTCAGTGGTGCAGCAATATCCTTGTGAACACCCACACCTCTCTCGGTCCGGTCTATTGTCTTGTGCAGGGGGCGCCCCGTGAAATGCGAGAGGCGTGGGGCGTTGTTGGAATGTCGACGGAGGCGTTCTGTCTTTTCCGTGAAACGGCATGAAACCGCCGATCACTTCCATCTTTCGTCGTTTTGGGAGGGCTCTTTGGGAGTTGTATCCGGCAAGCAACCGTGTGGATGGGGCAAACAAACACACAGACACAAAGAGATCCTGGCCTTTATTAGGCCCTCTCCGTTTTTAGCAGCGTGAGGTCGGAGTCTAACGTTGGCCAACCGGTTGACACGGTCGATGTTACTGCGCTGTATTTATGTTTCCTATTAGTATAGAGACGCACGCACCCGGCACAAGCCCCAAAGTTCCTGCTGCCCATCCTTACGAATTCCATTGAGAATTGTCTCTGTGTGATAAGTATGCACACCATGTGTGTTTTCTTGAAGCTGACACGAAGTATCGCCGCGCGTGAATACAATAAGACGCACAACCGTCGGGCCATATTCGTCCAGCCAACGGTACATTGCATCAAGAACGGACCAATCAGTGTGCGCGATCCAGTAATAATGTATACCGCTGTCCCAAACCTTCTAAAGACACACATATAGATCTATGCTACAACAGCAGTAGTATGCGCCCCGCGAACTAGAAAAGTTTTGGCATCTGTTGGTCGCATCTTGCCCGATCAAGGCAATGGCCGATCAAGGCAGCAATGGCTTAGTTGCACGGTGAAGACTCTTCGACCCTTATCGTTTGTGCAAGAGGAAGGCTCAAAACAGCAATGATCGCCCAAGAATGAATCCGCGTAGTTGTCTTTCAGGGAGAGCCTCTTTTGTTGACGCAAAACACACTGCTGGGAGCCCTGCGTAACACACTCCGTAGCAATCGCGACCAATGCAGAGGAGAAATGACATCGCTGTCCATACAGCAAGCGTCATGTGCCGTACAGTCCGAACCCTTCCTTGCCGTAAAAAGGCCCGGTTGGAGCATGTCTGGGGCCAACATCTCGCTTTTTCCCACAGCTCGCAACACCGCAGGAAAGCGGATACGAAGAGTCTACAGCGCGGAAGGTCGTGTTTCATATGATTTATCTGTACAAGAACCAATCTTCGAGAGCTTTCCAACACAACACCTGTCGTTTGATCCATGGCACGCTCATTGTGTGGCGGAGAGACAGAGAGAGCTTCGAAAGGGCAGACATGCCGCGGAACAGAGTATCCCAACCGAAATGTGCGAGTGGGATGTTAACTTACACCCGTCAACACCGCCCCCCTCCCCCCCCCCGCGCGCGCAACAAATACTCTTAAACCCCTTTCCGTACCCCACGTCGTGGGGCACAAATGTGCTTAGCGTCTAAAGCACAACCTCACAAAATCATCGTGTACACCGACATGTAAATCATCGAAGATCGAAGTCTGCAGCGGAGACGATACTATTCCGGAATTCCCTGGTCGGCCATGGCGTTGTAAAAGGCGTCCGTTTCCCCGGACTCCACACCCGCAGCCTTCATGGCCAGATGCCGGTCTAACCGCTCCCTGCAAAGCGATCAGAGACAAGAGGAGCGGAGAGTTTGAATGGAGGAGAGAGGTGTTTCGTTGCAGTAGTGAGACTCTCCCGGTCCACGAGCGAACTACTTGTTATACCACAGCAACTGTTGCATAAATCAAGCAGTACTGGTCGCGGCATGTCTGCTTTACGTACGCCAAAGCACGAACGTCAACAGCTAGCCGTTTAGCGGCTGTTCAAAAACCTATCCAAAAAACAGCAACGTCTACCGGAGCCACAACCTAAGGTCATCGTAGCTTTCTTTTCCCCAGAAGTACCACAATAAGAGCTTGTCTCTGCAACCGGTACGCGCGACGTTGACAGACAAACACCAGAGAAATGCCTCCTGCACGAAAACCGGGAAAATCACACACTTTCAAGGGAAGAAGGTGGGTAGGGAAGCGAGGGATTGTATTGCTTCAACAGCAAGCAAAAAACAAAACAAAGCCGGGACCATGTGGTGCATCTGGAAGATCAAACCGCAAAAAAACGTAGCGCCGCGCGCCGAGGGGACAAGACTCATGAACCATTGGTCACGTGGTACCGTTTGAAGCACCAACAGTCTCCCCGCGTACAGGAGCAACCAAAACGTTTGTCTCCTCTGCAGACTTTGGAGAACAACGGCCTTACGGGTAGCGCGGGTCCTTCGACACAAAGTCCGGTCCGTCAGAAATGAATGACGCTCAGTTTGCGTTTTTGCTCTCGTGAAGATTTTCTCTCGCAAAATGAAAACTAAGTCTCAAGTTAGAAGAGTTGATGGTGCTGGCGTAGGTTGCTTTTTTTGCTCTAGGTCACTCCAGACAGTCAACAAAGCTACACCTGGCGATTCCGATGCTAACCTGCATGAATCGTACATACATGTCGTCGTCGTTGAAGTCTCTTACCTCTTCTTCCCTCCCAGCCCTTCCACAAGCTCGTTGTAGTGCAAACCCTGCTGCCTTCGCTCCATCGGCATGTGCCCCTTACGTCCCAAGACCTGCCCAACGCCGAGACCCATGTCTCGCAATCGACGGAGCCCCTCCCTCCACGTCATGTCCTCTGCGTAATAGAGATAGGCAGCACCCAATAAACAAAAAAATGGATAAATCAACTTTCTGATTTCTTGCGAAGCGAAAAGAGAATGTCAAAAATGAACAACATATTCTCTTGCATTCTTCAGATTGGTTTGCAGCATCCTTTCAAGCTATTAAACCTTGGCCAAGTACAATGTGAAAACCACTGAGGGCCTTTTGTCTTACCATCACCGCCGTGTCCAGCCGTCTCTTCTCCTCGACGAGTCCCTTGAGAGTCCCCCGCCCCACCCTGCCGCTGCTGCTGCTGCTGCTGCTGCTGCTGCTGCTGCCTTAGTTCTTTCTCACGGCGTCTTCCCTGCTCCCCGTGATCCACGACCGAGTAGTGCTGGTCGTTGGACCCCTTGAGAGCGCGCTTGAAGGCGGCGAACGCATCCAGGTCCTGACGAAAAGAGCAGGAACAAAATAAAATAAATGGAAAGTATGAACAGCTTCCAGGTCCTGACGAAAAAATAACAAGAACAAATATAAAATGAAAAGTATGAACGACGTCCAGGTCCTGACGAAAAAAGAGCGAGAAAAAAAGACAAATGGAAAAGTTTGGAAAGCTTCCAGGTCCTGACGAAAAAATAACAAACAAAAAAAATGTGAAGTATGAAAGCAATACACGGATAGGATCCCCCAAAGCCACCAACACATCCGTTCTTCATAAAAATATCACATGAGAAGGGAAGTTCGGCAAACACCCAGATAAAAAATGGGACGATACACACACATCACACACGTCATGAAGATAGCTACACCTTTCATGCACCCGTTGCCTCCACACACACACAAAAAAAACGAAAGTTCAGCATTTTAACCACCGCAGCACAGCCGACCTTTGCTGAGACGGTAACACCGGCGAGGTACTCGAGGTTGTTCAGGAGACGAGCGGCCGTGATAGCCGCGTCTTCCCACAGGCTTTCCAGGTGTTCTTGGAGGCAGTACAGATTCTGCATCCCGGGGGGGGGGGGGTTACTCTTATGTTTTGCATGCCTTAGCGGTTACATCCGTTGATCACGCGTCCTCGAGAGGATGGAGCATTGTTCTCGCGACCTTTGTACACGGGTAGTGGTCTCGGTCGGTGTAGATATGTCAAATTGGGTACAATAGGTGAGGTTTTGCTTTGAAACATCTCGATGGCAACAAAAATTAAGGTAGGTTGAGATACAACTTTAGCTGTACCTCCGGCGTGTACTCGGTCGGCAAAGAAATGGCCAAAAAGGTTACAATAGATGATCATAAAACAAAATGTCGATGGCAACAAGACACAGGTAGGTTGAGATACAACGTTGACATTACCTCCGGCGTGTACTGAAAGTTGAGGGATCGAAACCGGCATCCGTGGAGCAGCAGGGGCCCGTCCGGAGCCATGTCATAGTGAGGCTTCCCCGGGCACCTTAAGCATGCACAACAACAACAACAACGGGATGGGGAAAAAATATGAAACAAAACAAAGAAGAAAACGGAAAGCAATAAAATTGGGGATTCCAGAAACACGGAAAAAACACGTGTGAAAGACAGTCAGCTGTGCAGCAGCAGGGGCCTGAACGGCGCCATGTCGTTGAGAGATTTCCACCGGTATCTCAAGAATGCACAAACGAATAGGGAGGGGGGGCGGAAACCGAAAGGGTGGGGACAAAATCGATCAAACAGCAAAAAACAAATAGAAAATATGGTTTGTGTTTTGTACCCTTTTGGGGTAGTTGGTCTGTGACCACGGAAGGGATCTGCGTCATTTGGATCGGTACGGATGCTAGAAGGTATAAACTGACCAGAGACTGAAAAAACGCCAAGACAGCAACAACAACAACAACAACAACAACGACAACAGCAGCAGCAGCAAAAACAACAGCAAAAAAACTATGCTCGAGAAGACGCCAATGGACCCGTGTTGAAACCAAGCAATACCAAGCGAGAATGCCCTGCTCACCTTTCCATGTCGAGAAGAAAGGACATCACGTCCGGCGACTCCAGCCCCCTCCCCACCATGAACAGCACGGCCATGAGGCACCGCACCATGTGCCACAAAAACGCCTGCCCGCAGACCTGGCCAAGACACAACGCACGCCGCCATCAGCACCTACATACCGTCCATTTTTTTGGTGTCGAACGGGGGGCGGGTGGTTGGCTCCAAAGGCTGGTGTTCTGGATTGTATGTCTACAACCACGAAAACGGTCGTTGGAAAACAAGAAACATATGCATAAGAAAGCGGAAAAACCAACCCCACACCACCTCCGTTTTTTGCGGTAACCATGAATGGTGGTCGAGTAGATCATGTTGTGCGGGGTCGAGAACCGTCACTCCGCGCAAGGGGATGATCGCACCACATTGTGTTGAATTGGTCAAGCACCCTGAAGGCAGTTACACAGTGCTTATAACTGTCTCTGGAAGTGAAAGCACCAGAAAATAAATTAAGTCATACGCAGCTGCCATCCGTACGCAAGGAAGTACGCACAAGATGCCGAACACCCTTAGCAGGATGCAGCGCACCCTTCATGCGACTCGCCGAATACCTCACGGCGCTTCGGGCTTGGTGATGTGAGAGCCTGGTCCGGTGAGAACCCGGCGTGCTCCGTCCCGGCTTTGTAGGGATGCGAGGTCAATGGTCTAACGACGACGGCATGCACGACTAGGAGTACACCCCCCACCCGCCCCGCAGTTTCACGAAAGAAACAAGGAACAATAAACAACACCGAAAGATCCCAAAGAAAGAGAAACAAGAACATGTATGACACCAACAAGCAGTGCGTGCATATCTTCTCTTCTTGTGTCCTCTAACTTTTTGCCTTTGAGCGCTGGGGCGACGACAACTCAAGAGAGGGAGGACGCAGGCCCGTACAGAAGTACCATAGACGCCGCTTCGCTTTGCCTTGCTTGCTCGCTCGCAGCTGAGGTGAGGCAGAACCTGCCGCTGCTTTACATTGTACTGTACTTGTACCTCGAACACGCACACCCGGTAGTACTCCTCCTCCTCTTCCTCCTCTCTGGCCGTGCCCTCGTGGTCCGACGTGTGCGACGGCGATGGTGACGGTACCGGTCTGACGGAGGCGTGCTTGATGTGCCGGACGAAGTTGGACACATTCGCCACGTCTTCGCGGGAGGGGCGGCAATTCAGAGAGAGAGAGAGAGAGAGAGAGAGAGAGAGAAAACGTTCCTTGAGACAGACAAAAAAGAACATTCCTTGAGATGAAACAGAACGTTCCGTAGACGAAAAAGAGCGTTCCAGAGACGAAAAAAGAACGTTCCAGAGGTGAAATAGAACGTTCCAGAGGTTCCCCCGACAAAGAACGTTCCCCAGAAACAACATCCCCCCCCAAACCAAAACAAGTAGTAGAGCATACCCCAGAGAAAAACAAGTGCGCCCCCCGCCCTCACCAACAGCAACAAAAAGAGCGTGTCCGAGAAAAGACGGACATGTGCACGCGGGAACATGGCACAGTAGGTGCTTGTCAGCAAACATGGGCGAACAAAATACCACGTACCAAACTGCCGTACCCTGCCGCGGCGGCACCCTGCCGCTCCACCCTGCACCAAACAGCATGCTGGCGAACGGTTAGGGGTGGATAAGGCCTACGCACCAACCTTGCAAAGGTTTGGGCCGATCTCGTCATACAACACCGCCATGTAGTCCACCAAAACAATACGGGTATGACCCTTCGTACCAATCTTGCAGAGGTTTCTAAAGTCGTGGCTGCCGACGATCTTAGACGCCGCTTCGTTCATAGCCTTTACGTCCATGTCTCTCGCCATGAAGAAGTACCTTTCCGTGAACATGCCAGCAAAAAAGGAGGACAAGATAAGGCACAATTAGAGGTTCACGCCATGAAGAAGTACCTTTTCGTGAAACACGCCAGCAAAAAAGGAGGGCAAACTAAGGTAACAACCAGTGACCATGGATTGAAGCTACTCGACAGAAAATGCTCTGAGCGCTGGTTTAAAGTGATGGAGAAAAAAACAGGTTATCACGCAAGGGGGAGAGGGAGAAACGTTTTTTTTTTTAATAAAGCACGTCGTACGAGAGGGTGTATTTACAAACCTCGACCCTGCTGAAAACGACGAGGGCAGCCAGCCCCTCAGTTGTTCTTTTTGTTTTTGTTGCTGTTGTCTTCACGCTAAAACCTGCTGTTCTGGCCTGCCACCCAGTGCCATCACAATGCCACTCCCACAGATGGGAGAAGCCAGTTCCCTGCGCTCGCGGCCTAACCCCTACCCCCGAAGACGACAACAAGCCTCCTTGCGCGAGCAACATCGTTCCCATCCAACAAGTCAACAAGAACCCATCCACAAACAAACAAGATCGCTTTGCAGCGCTGACGGCTGGTTGTCCAGCCCCGACTTCCGCTAAAACGGGCTCAACCCTCGAGGACGGTGAAGCAACGAGAGCAATCTAAGCTCCAAATCGGGAAGCTTATGTTCGGGATGCGCGTCCAGGGTACTAGTGCTGTCTGCGGGGCCTCCTAGGGTTCCGTGGATGATATGGGTATGATGGACATGACGCGCGGGGCCCCTCTTGCCTCCTGCATGTCTGTCACTCGTTCATGATGCAAGGTCTTGAAGTCAACCTTCTTTTTCTTTCGGCTCGTGACGAAGCTGCAAGGTCTTGAAGTCAACCTTCTGTTTCTTTCCGGCCCGTGACGAAGCTACCGCGCCCAAACAGCTAGCGATAGACAAATCGTAGACAGAGAGCACACCCACGACGGCTCTCACCTGTACGTCCTGTCGGAACAGCTGAACCTAGCGCTGAAGCCCTCCGTGACCGGTGCCCACGCCAGCGTGCGGACCCCCGGCGGCAACACCCGATTGAGAATCCCGCAGTAGTCGATCTCGGTAACCTCTCCTCCAGCCGGAGGACCCCCGCCCCCGCTCCCCCCGCTCATGCGGCTCTTCTTCTTGTGCTTCTTCTTCGTCTTGTCGTTGCCATTGCCGTTGCCACCGCCGAGCTTCCCCCCCCGCTCGCCCTCGCTTCCGCGTAGCCCCCCGCCGCCGCCGCCGCCGTTCTCGCCTGCTCCGGCGTCGGCTGCACTCGCAACGACGCTGCTACCGCCGCCGCCTCCGCCACCAGGAGGGTTTCCACTCGCCACTTCTCCGCGTCCGACCTCTCCTCCTCCAGCCTCCGTCCAAGGTTCGGGAGCACCGCTAGCTTGATGACGCGAATCAGAAGGGCAACCCTCCGAATTTTTTCCCTTGGCTAGGCCGCTACCCTCTTCTGCGACCCCGGCGGCTGGCTGTTCTTGCTCAGCAGCAGCGCTGCCTTCGGGCATCGTTTGGTTTTCTTTCTTAGGGGCACCGTCGTGTTCTCCAACTGATTCCGCCCCGTTTGGTGGTGGAGCGGTCGGGGCTACCCAGAGGGACCCGAGCGGTGACGTAGGGAGGTCGGCGTCGGGCACGTGCTTGGGGAACTTGGACCGCATTGAGACAGTGATGACCTATCATGCCGTTGTTGTTGTTGGAGTAGGGGTAGTTGTGGTTGTTGTTGTTGTTGTTGATGTTAAGGTTGTTTCCGACCGATCGCAAGCCGTTGGGGGGCACGCAGCCAGCAAAAACCAAGAAGGCAAACGGACGACATCGGCAGACAAGACAGTCAACGGAAGATGAGGAGAGGAGGTCAAGGCTGTGGGACCAACGGAACGTGACAGCCGTAGCGGATGAAACAGCAAAATCAAGCAAGCAATAAACACGAACAGCAATAACTCCCCACCAAGGTAGCACGACCTTTACACCTACATCTTCCCTGACAACACCAGCGCCTACACCGGACCCAACTACAACACCAACGCAAACAATACAAGAGGGACAACACCAAGACAAAAAAACTAAACCCCACATCACTTTCTCCGGAGACAGCCCGCTCACGTTTCCAAGCGCGCTGACCCCCCTGTCCGTGCGGCCACAGCGGGAGTAGTTGTCCCCCGTGGTGATGGTTTCTACGAGCTTGGTTGTCGTCAGGGCTCGGAAGAGGTGTTTCTCGATTGTCTCCTCGTTGCCTTCGCTCTGTGGGTGTTGTTTTTTGTTTTGTTCCAGGCGCGGACGTTTTTAATTTTTTTTCGGAATGGCAGCATGGCAGCCGAGATTTAGGCAAGGACACGGGGTGAGGTGAACGGCATCAATGGGGGAGGGGTGGAACAACGTCGTGTAGGAGTAGCAGCAGCAGCAGCAGCAGTGATCGCAGGGGTGGAACAACGTCGTGTAGGAGTAGCAGCAGCAGCAGCAGCAGCAGCAGCAGCAGTAGCAGCAGTGATCGCAGGCCCAAATGAATAAAATAAATAAGTCAACAAACGGATAAATACCATGGTGCCAGGCTTGACTTATTGCGCTCCGGTTCCACTCAGCTTGGTCGCCATTTTCTCGTGCTCAACAGAATTCGTGAAGATTGTTTCTGTCTTCATCGTAAAAACCGTCCCGGTCTCCGCTCAGTACCGTCTACATATCCGTACTGCCGCATCCCAAAGAGAAAATGCCCCATCTACAGCCGTATCAAAGTAGCCTTCGTAGGTTTCTTCTTTCAAGTAAACATGTTGGATGAAGGATGATATCGGGGATAGGGTTTGCGTTCCCCCTCCCAGTTCTATTTCCTCATAGATACCCTTAATTTCTCGCGAAGGCGACCCCGCCGCATTTACCTGCGAGCAGAAGCCGGCGTAACCTCCCCCCTCGTACATGAGCTGCACCGCGACGGTGCGCTTGCGCCAGCGCGAGTGGTCGAAGTCCCGCTGCTGCCCTGCCCCCTTCTTGCTCTTCCTGCCCTTCTTGTTGCCGCCGCCGCCGCCGCCGCCGCCGGCCTCCTTCTCTGCTGCCTTTTGCCGCTGCTTCTCTCTCCAGGACAGCCCCCGCGGGCCCTGCGGCGGCACCGGTGCTTGCGAAGCCGCCGCCCGTGTGTGGCCCGTCCCCAACCCCTGAGTTGACGACGCCTCGTTACTCCCACCTGCAGTCGTAGCGTCGGCTCCTGCGCTTCGGCCGCTGCTCTTACTGCCGGGATTTCCTGGAGGCGTCATCTCGGCATTAGGAGGGGCGCTAGCGGTGCCCCCCCCGGTACCCGAGGCGTCCTTCGCAGCAGGAGGTGGTGGTGCGGCGCTTCTAACGCTGTTGGCGGCTGCAGCGGCGGCGGGACCATCACGACCAGCACCGTCGGGAGCGTCCCCGCAGCGCGCACGCTTTGTAGCCGGGGCCGGAGAGGAGACCGCGCAGTCCGAGGACGATGTTTTCAACGTGGCTGCTGGTTGTTGCACAACGGCGGAGTCGCTGCTACTGCTGCTGCTGCTGCTTCTGGCAACTGGTGCCGTTGCCGGTGGTCGCAACCGTTCCAGTAGGCCGGTTACAGCACCTGTGTTGGTTCCGCGGGCGTGCGCGGGTTTGTCGTTTCGGTAAACGATCGCACGGTGCAAAACCAATACCACAACAGCAGTAGTAGGTTAGTGGCAACTTGAACAGTGGAACCGCCTTGGTCTCTCTTTTTTTCAGAAAACATGCGTGAAAACACGCAGAAAGACTACTCGTTCGAGATACTGCTGTGAACTCCGTATGTATAACCGGTACAGTAACGCGAGGCAGCACATCACCACAGAAGACGTGGTGAGACAGGTGTTCATGTATTGCGCCGCATTCCCGAACAAGGATAAACGCTGCAAGCGGTCAGCGCTTCCACGCACAGGTACACTACATACGGGACGTGTAACGCGGAACACGGGACAGGGGTAGCATGCTCCCGCCACGCACAGGCACGAGGATTCGCATGGGGGCCAACAGCAACAGCACACATGTCAACACCAAAGGGCAATCAGAAGGATAAGATATGTGTGCGGCAAGAAAGGTACTTGCACGTGATTTACCGACGTGAACCACTCGACCCTCGAGCGCCAGCAGCACGCCTCGCAGCTCATCTGGGGTTGCGCCATCCAGTACTTCTCGTAGGCTTCCGCCCTCTACCCCCATGATCTTTATGTGGGCTTGGGTAGCACAGCAGTACCGCAGTTGGCAGCTAGCTCTTGTGGTGGCAGGGTGGTACGTTTGTGGGTGGGCTTGGGGCATCGCAGACTGGGATACTGCCGCACAGCATTGTACTCACATCGCGCCGCTCTCCGCTGGCGTGAGCAACCAACCCACAGACACCTTGCTTCTTGTCCCCAGAGCAAAGGGGGAACGCAAAGGGGAGGAAAACCAGACACGTCGTAGTAGCGCGGGTGAGGGAGAGAGAGAGAGGTGTCCCGAGCCGCTCTCTGGAGGTACCAGCGCAGAGGTTAGATCGAGAGTTTAGGTGAGTCCGAAACGACCTACAATTGTAAGTTGCAGTTTTGTCTCCGCACAAAGAAAGGCAGGTGTGATGAGTGTCGAAGCTCTCTCTCCGTGTGGATGGACGTCTGCGTAGCACACAGACACAGACGGCATCCCTTGCTACTGCTGACCCCCTCGTTCACCGTACGTGTGTGCTGCGTACGAGATTTGTATCCTTCAAGCCCATCTCCTCCCTCTGAATGTACCGAAGAGCTGTGTGATGATTATCTCCGCGTACCTCTCTTGTCACAGGGCTTGTCACAAGGGCTTGCCTCGTGCCCAACCTATAGCAACTGAATCGTTTCCCAAAGCATTATTCGCTGACCCTCGACCCTGGACCGTGTCGCATGGTCCTACCAAGAGCAAACCTCTCCCTCTCTCCCGCTACATTCATGGTATGGGTTTGGCTTGAAGATTATTTGAACTCGGATGATGATGACGCCAGAAAAAGAGCCCTAGCGAGGGAGGTTGTCACTTTCTATTGGCCCGCGTGTTCGATGGAGTCAGCGCGTCGACGCCGCCGCCCCGCCCCGACATCATGTTTATATTTGCATTTCTTCTTGCCTTCCCCTCTGGTTCTCCACAAAGCGCGGCTTATCTTTTTGTGTCCGTGTTGAGTTGGGTGCTGCCCTGCTGCTGCTGTTGTACACACCAACCTGACCGAGTGATCGACCCACCCGAAGTAACCGGCCCGGGGGCGCATTAGTACTCCTACAAAAGTATGCATTTGTACTACATAACCACTTCCTAATTGAAATGCCTCTGAACAAGCCCATTTTCGTTCTTTGAGCTGGGTGGTCTAGCGGCTTTGCCTGCCCTCCAACGATTGCCATACTACTCCCTGACAAAATAATATTCGGACAGTTGGACGAGTGCGGTACCCTCTCTCGTTTCTTGCAAGCGAGAACGGAGTGTATCATACGGCCATTTTTTCTTGTTGATGACAATCGGCGAACTTTCTCGTTCTTCTTTTTTTCTGGCGAAGGGTGCTCGTTGTAGTCTACTCCCGAATGCCTTCCCTGCTTCGTCACCGCGAGGCTAGCGGTGACGAGGCGACGGTGTGAGGTTTGAAGTCGTCGGGTGCGCCTCGTATTCAAGTGCATACCAAAAGAGCCGCGCAAATGGGTAGCGCTATACTCCACAACAGAGCTGTCAGCTCTCCCAGCAAGGGAGCCAGCCCCCTTCCAACAGCTAGTGGAATTAATTCCTTCGAGTGACGTTTTCCAAGTTTTTGGCTGGCACGCGTGATCTCTCCGGAGTGGGCATATGAGAGCGCAGGCAGGCAGTGTCGTCAAGGGGTGATACAAGAAAAAAATTAAAGCAAGAGGCAGCAGGACCAACCGGCAGCTGTCTGCCAGCTGCGTTGTGTCGTTTCCCAACCTTACACAGCTGACATAAAACTGACGCGTTTTTGACTCGAAGAGCCCAGCGAACTTCAACGAACTAAAATCAATAGTTCCAAGATTTTAGCTGATGCGACGGCGAGACTGCAGCACTAGTCCACACCGTACATAACTCCACACAACCCCAGATACGCGCACTTTTTTTTTTTTTGGCTCAGGCTGGTGTTCTTAGGTCCTCTTGTGGGCTACCAATCGGCCACGATATAGGTTTTTCGTGTGGAGCGTCTTCACCGGGCTCACCACCTTCTTGTGTATGTGTGTCGTGTCGCGGTTTGCTCTGGGTAGAGGAATGTTTTCGGATTTTGTTTGTTCCTTTCGTCGGAAGCCCACGTGGACGAAGCGCCGGTCGTTCTCTCTCTCTCTCTCTCTCTCTTCTCTCTATCTCTTGATGGCTGTCTCTCTCTCTGCATGTCGTTCTGGGAATACATCTGTTTGGTTTTGTTTTCTTGCCCCACTACTGTGGCTATGTCACCCTTGGGCAGGAAGGAAGCGAGGGCGTTTGGCCTACTCTTTAGGGATCCGGTGCGGTGAGGATGGCGTGCGTGGATAACAGGGTTGTGGGCACGGAGGAGGGTCGGGACGACAGGGGACACCAGCTGGCCAAGTACCTGTCTTGTTGCGCCGCCTCCCAGTGCGCCGAAACCCACATTTGCTCCAGAAGGTGAAGATATATTGTATCCGTTGATCATTCAACCTTTATGTGGAACGGATGAACGAACCGCAATCGCTCCTGGACTGTGCTTCTACCCCCCCCCCCCCGGTGGCCGCAATATGCCGAACAGGAAAGGGGGTGTCATGTATGATACGTGCAGGCCGCCCGAATGGTTGGAGGTGCTTCGATTGTTTAGGAGGGGCCGTGTGCAGTCTAGTGTCGTGCGAGGTGCGTGGTGATATGGCCAAACGACCACGGCAAGTACCACCCCTCCCTCCCCCCATCAACGCTCTGAGAGCTTCCCAACCTTGCCCCCCCACTCGAAAGGGCGTGCGCCGTTAATGACTCGACAACCAAACAATAGCCTCCTCTACTTTCCTAAGGTTCCATTCTGCGTACCCCCCCCTTCCTCCTCACCCCACACTGCTCTCCGCTGAAAAACAGAGTCGCCAAGGCTGGGGCGGCCCCGTGCAAGCACTGCGGGGGGGCTGGCGGGGGATCGGAGTGGGCCAAGACATTCGCCATGGCTCTGTGCGACATTTTCGACTGCCCCGCGGTGGTCCAGCGGGAGGCGAGTACTGCTGGCACTGGGGGGGGGGTCGTTGTTGTGGTTGTTGGTGTCGTGTGTCGTGTTGCTACTGCTGTCTTCACGTTAGAAGCCGCTCCGGTGCTGCTCAGTGCCTTCTAATTTCCGTACCGCCGGTTCAAATCACGCGGACGCCATCCGTGGCCAGTCACATGCCAACTACCCGAAAAACGGTACACACTTGTAGGAATAAGATCAAACGGAAATGTAAATGAAATCAGGATAAGCGTTCGGGCCTATCGTACTTTTTTTGGGCGTTGTTTTGAGCGCTCGTTTTCTGGTTGGGGTCTCCGCTATTGTGCTGTGATTGGTATGGCGATGACACGATCCTGTGTGCAGAATTGTTGTTTCGAGTGAGCCGGGGAAAAACTCCAGGCTTGCCCTTTCGTACAAGTGCGCCAGGCGCAGACTCGGGTGCGTGGAATAATACCGTCCCAGTCAATTGGATTCGATTTAGGATAGTGTTGCCACCGACATTTGAAGTCTCCCCTCACGCCCCAAAGGACTCCGTTCGTACCCTTTCGCCCTACATTTTGCGTGCCTGGGACTGCAGCCCCCCCCCCCCCCCTCCCCGTGCAAACCCTCTTTTGTGTGGTGCGTTGTTCAGGCTCTGGACCTTGTCGTCTCCGCGGTGGCCTTCGTGCCGTCGCCCCCGTCCGGCAACGATGATAACGACAGCAACAACGATAGCGACAGCAGCAGCAGCGGCTTCAAGGGCGGCGTCGGGGTCGACGACAAAGACGGAGGAAGCAGAAGAACAGCGGTGCTGAGGGGGCAGGCTGCTCCAGACAACGGCGGCGGCGATCGGCGCGCCCATGACGGCGAAGACGGAAGCTACGGCTCCTCCAGCGAGGGAGGGGCGAGCAGCGGCGGGCTCGGCAGCTCCTGGGGTAGCGTCTCGGAGCTGGCCCTGGCGTGCGTAGAGGAGGAGGAGGAGCGCGACGGTACCGCTAGCGGCGGCGGAGCCGCCGCCTACGGCGGGGCCGGGAGGGTGAGCGGCGGCGGCAGCCGGTGGGGGGAAGAGGAGGAGGAGGAGGAGGAGGACGACGACGATGACGAGGTTGTGCGGAAGGGGATTTGGTTCCCGCCGCCCTCTACGGCAGGGGCGAAGGACCCGCTCCTCACGACGAGCACCGCCGGCGACGGTCTGTCGGGAGGGAACGGAGGCGGTAGTGGTTGTTACTCGGCCGCTGCAGCGAGGAGGGGAGAGCCTCGCCCCCCCCCGAGGTCGTTGGCGGCTAGGTTTAGGAAGCGATGGCAGCAGCAGCAGCAGCAGCAGAGCCCCGACGGTACCGGTGGTGTGGCGCCGTTCGCCACGCCTACGGCCGCCGCCGCCGCCGTCTCACGCCCGTCGACCACACCCGCTTCTCGAAGAAGAGGAAGATGCGAGGAAGGAGGAGGAGGAGGAGGAAGAGGAAGAGGAGGAGTAGGAGGAGCAGGAGGAGGAGAGGGAGGGGACCACTCCTGTCCGGGCGGTAATGGCGAGGAGCCGCTACCGCCGCCACCGCTCCGGGGAGGAGCCTGCGAAAGTAACCCCAGCAGCAGAGGCAGCAACAGCAGCACCGTCGGCGGCGGCGGCGGCTTGGCGAAGGGAGCTGAGAACGACCACCACCGGCAACGAGACGGCGGCAGCGGCAGCGGCGGTGGCGGCAGAAGCGGCGAGGCGGGGAGCGAGTTTGTTGTCCTGGTGAGCCGGGAGGCCACGGTGCGAGAGCTGGCGGCGAGCGTGGGAGGGTTTCCGGAGGACTGGCTGGGGGAGGCGTTCGGGATGGTCGTGCGGCGGCAGGTGGAGGACGCGGTCTACGACGCGCGTGCACGGGCGGCGATAAAGCGCGCCGTGAGGCTGCTGGGCGGGAGGGTGTCTTGGAAGCAGGTACCGTAGATTGTGGTTTTCTGTGGTTTTCTGTGGTTTTTGTCTTGCTTGCAGTGCGTGGTGGGGCTGCTGGGCGGGTAGGTGTCTAGGAAGCAGGTGTGGCTTGTTTTTGTTGAGTCTTGTTTGTATGGGGTTTTGGAACCCGCTTAAAGTGGTATCGGTCGGGGGTGTTTGGAAGCTATCGGACCCCGACAACGAGCTAGCGTATGGAAGACCTGGGTCGCTTGCGAAGGGGAAACAAGCAGTAAAACGCATCCACGGTGGACACTAAGCGAAGGGCCCGCCACGAAGGGGGCGGGGTGTACTCATAGTCGTGCATGCCGTAGTCGTTTGACCATTGACCTCGCATCCCTACAAAGCCGGGACAGAGCACGCCGGGTTCTCACCGGACTAGGCTCTCACATCACCAAGCGCGAAGCGCCGTGAGGTATTTGGCGAGTCGCATGAAGGGTGAGCTGCATCCTGCTAAGGGTGTTCGGCATCTTGTGCTTACTTCCTTGCGTACGGATGACAGCTACGTATGACTTAATTTATTTTCTGGTGCTTTCACTTCTGAGACAGTTGTAAGCACTGTGTAACTGCCTCGAGGAAGCTTGACCATTTTAACACAACGTGGTGCGATCATCCCCCGTTGCGCGGAGTGAGGTTTCTCGACCCCGCACAACATGATCTACTCGTCCACCATTATGGTTACCGCCAAAAAAAAAAACCGAGGTAAAAAAAACAAACGGTAACCTGGTTGCCGAGTTCACGAAGTGAATTGGCTTGTTTTACAACGTCGTTGCCAAGCGACGAAAACCCAATCCCGATGGCAAACACCGAGTGGGGGGGGGGGTACTTGACTTCTTTGTTTTTCCCCTTCCCCATTTGATACTCAGCATGGCGTCCCTTTCCGAACCTGAGCTCAGCACATTCCCCAACTCCAAATACAGGTTAACGCTCCGAATAATCTAGAGGTACCCCCCACGGTTGAGGTACCAGCAATGTCCGGACTTTCTCAGGGTTTTCGCCGCATGTACTGCTGTACGCCGCACATTTTAGCGCTCCTCATCCCGTTACTTTTTTTTCTTTTCTCGGCGCTTTGTGACCAACACGATGGCAAACTATGGGGGGATGGGTTGGTGGGGCTCCGCAGTTTCTTAAGAATGATGGAATGCTAGATTCCGAGAGTTGCCACCTTGCCATGCAATTACTCCAGGGTTTGGGCGGCTCTTTTGTTGTTCTCGACCGGCTCTTTGCTGACTTTTGTCTTCTTTATTTTCTGTTGAGCAAGCTTTTCTCTGCTGTACGGTTTGCTTGCAGTTTCGGTGAACCACATCGTCGCAAATCACATCACATCACAAGACGTGCCCCTTCCCATAGCAACCTAGAAACCCTTCGCAGAGAAACGTAGCACCCCTTTGTTTTCTTACCCGAACGCGACCCCACTCACGTATCCCCCCCCCCCTGCCCCCCACTCGGTGTTTGCCATCGGGATTGGGTTTTCGTCGATTGGCAACGACGTTGTAAAACAAGCCAATTCACTTCGTGAACTCGGCAACCAGGTTACCGTCTTTTTTTTTTACCTCTGTTTTTTTTTTTGCGGTAACCATAATGGTGGTCGAGTAGATCATGTTGTGCGGGGTCGAGAAACCTCACTCCGCGCAACGGGGGATGATCGCACCACGTTGTGTTAAAATGGTCAAGCTTCCTCGAGGCAGTTACACAGTGCTTACAACTGTCTCTGGAAGTGAAAGCACCAGAAAATAAATTAAGTCATACGCAGCTGTCATCCGTACGCAAGGAAGTAAGCACAAGATGCCGAACACCCTTAGCAGGATGCAGCTCACCCTTCATGCGACTCGCCAAATACCTCACGGCGCTTCGCGCTTGGTGATGTGAGAGCCTGGTCCGGTGAGAACCCGGCGTGCTCCGTCCCGGCTTTGTAGGGATGCGAGGTCAATGGTCAAACGACGACGGCATGCACGACTATGAGTACACCCCCCCCGCTCCCCTTAACTCCAAGTATTGTTTTCTTTGTTGATGCGCACGTTGGGTGGCCGGCCGCCAGGTGGCTGTCACGGAGCAGGAGCTAGCGGCGCTGGCACAGGACGATAACGACCGAATTCAAGACGGAGACAAGGTGACCAGACGATGGTTGTTGTTGTTGTTGTTGTTGTTGTTATTTGCGACTTGACTATCGACCATGACCACCTCTCGAAACCCGCTACTCGGCGTCCATGTGTATCGTGTCCTTGTTCGCAAAACAAGGCCTATGCATACCACAGCACCAGCACCCTTATTCTATGCGGTGCGCCAACATGACTTATTTTCTTGACATGTTTATTTTTGTTAACGTCTTTTGACACCAACAGAACAAGGAGGCGGCAGTGTCGGGGAGGTACTGGAAGGTCGGCCTGGCGGCAGCCGGGGGAGGGGTTTTGCTTTTCCTTAGCGGAGGCGTCGCCGCGCCGTCGGTTACCGCGTCTCTCTCCGCCGTGGGGTAAGTAAAGTTTACCTTGCCATTAAACTTCTTTTTTTTCAATTATTATTTTCATATTTTTTTTTTATCTGTTTAGATTATTACATACACGCTTTTCTCTCTGTTTTCGTTGGTTGTATTGCCGAGATTTATTTTCGTTAATCTGTTTGGTACCAAATGCGTTTTTTTGTTCTGTTTTCGTTGTTTGTGCTGCCATAGATTTATTTTCGTTTTTCTGTTTGGCAACAGATATGTTTTTTTTGTTATGTTTTCGTTGTTATTGTTGCGATAGGTTTTGATGATTTGCGTTTGTGCGTGTCGTCGTTAAGAGTTAGCCTCACCGTTGGAGACCTTGATGGGCACGGGGCTACGTGGTTCCAACATTTTTTTTCATCGTGGTTGGCCTCTTGGAATCACGGCAAAGCACACAAGGAGGAAGCATGCCACAATCCCCCCCCCCCCCCCTCCCACCCCCGCCGCGTCAGGTTTGCAGCGGTAAATTCGGTGTCGTACGTCGCCCCGTCCCTTGGCGCTTGGCTGGGTTACACGTCCACCGCTGCCGCCGCCTCGGGGGCGGGCACCGTCGGCGCGTTTAGTGCCGTTTCGGGGGCGGCGGGGGCGGGCATGGCCGGTTACAAGATGACGAGGAGGACGGCAGGGGTGAGCGGGGCACCGCACCACTACCACTGCTACCGCCGCTTTTTTTGCAGTGTCTTTTAGGAACTAACAATAATTAAAAAAATTTAGACAAAAAAATGTGTGAAGTCTTAATTTATTACAAATTAAGAAAATAAAATGAAGACTTGCCGTTCGCGATAAAGCTAACTACCACAGTTTTGGTTCAGGACAGTTTTTCCCACGTTCCTGTGTCGCGTCGTTGAGGCGTTCTCCACGACTATTTTTGTGGTGGCCAGTTACTCTTGGGCACTTGGTTTTTGACCGCAGGCACTCCGTTAGAGCCGGCTGGGTCCGTGGGCCTTTTTGGTTTTGCGTTCGTGTTTTTTTTGCCAGAGTTGTTGGAGGAGAAATCTCTGCCGGAACAAAAGACCAGCGTGATGGGTGGTCGTACCTACATTGCACGGGTAGATAGTAATACAGCCCTGTGTGTACCGGTGTTTTACGAGCAGCACAACGGCGTACTTGTTTTTGTTCTTGCTCTTTCGTACAGAAACACAACAAATTCATCCTCCACATTCCACAGATAGGTTTCCGGGATAGATCACCAACACCGTGCTTTTGTTGCCCACTGTTTTATGTGTGTCCCCTGTCCCCGGCTTGTTCCCCCTTTTCTTCGTGAACCGACACGATATTAAAATAAATATAAAACAGGTTCAGGAGTTCCACTTCCTACCTCTGCATACCGAGTGGCCGCTAGACTCTCCCGAATCCATGTTCGAGGGGGCGTCTGAACCCGGCCTACCGGTGTTCATCTGCGTGTCCGGGTGGCACGAGCCTGGCCACGATCCACGGTACGGGTTTTCAGTTGTTTGTAATGGTTTCCGGTATTTCGTCGACTTTTTTTTTTTGGTTTGACAAGAAATCGGTAACTTGTAAACCGCCCATCTTTTTTTTTTTCCGGATGAGAATTCGGTAACCGTGACGTGGTAGTGATGCAACACACACGTGTGTAGTCAGTGTGTCGTGATCCGTACAAGCCTTCGTTTTACGTTTTTTTTTATTTAGTCGTGACAGACAGGGGGCGACGTGATTCGAAGGATGATGCTTCGTCCTCACCATTCTCCTTTCAGTGGAGAGCGTCTTGTTGAGCATTCTCTCTTCTCTCTCCGGATATACAACAACGAAAAACAAATTCCGGTTTGTGATGGCGACAGACTAGACCAGTGCTTGCTCCCTTTGTGATGCTCGCCAAAGACACAACCCGGCTCTCTGCTGAGCGAAGTAGTCGCCCGGAGGCCTCCCACTCCTCTCGAAACATCTGATGACCCCGCCCCCCGCCCCCCCCCACTCTCCCTCGTGTATCCTCACCCCGCGCGATTTTCGTCACGACGATGTTAGGCACATCTGGGGAGGCATTAGATACGCCAACGTCGCCTCCACGCCTGAAACCCCGGGGACGGCGGCCGAAAATCCCCCCGCTTGCCCTGCCCCGCCGCCGGGCTCCACAGCAGCGGGAGACTCGGGGGCACCGCGGGGCAGAGCGAGGGGGGAGACGCGGAGGGGAAGGTTCGGAGGCACCCCCTTCTTCCCGCCAGCCGCCGCTCCTTCTGTGCCTGAATTTCAAGGCTCGGGGTGCAGAACAGCGGCAGCGACAACGACGGCAGCAGTGGGAGAGGCGCCGGCTGCGTCAGGTGCCAGCGGCGCGGTGTCTCGATGGTTCTCGGCCGCTCGCGGGACTGTCAGCCTCGACCGCGGCGGCGGCGGCGGCAATCATAGCAGCAGCCGCAGCAGCAGCCGCAGCAGTACCAGCAGCAGCAGCAGTAGCGGCAGCGGCAGCAGCAGTGGTATCAACAACCATGGCGGAAATGGTGTCGGTAATGACGGCACAGGGACCGGCGGCGGCGGCCGCGAGACTGTCAGAACCCGAAATAGAAGCGGTTTCCAGCGACCACCACCAACACAACAACAACAACAACAACAGCAACAGCAACAACTTGGCATCGGAAGCGGCGGCGGTGGCGGCGGTGGTGTTTCAACCACGACCCCAATGGTCTCTTCGTTCATCGACCTAGGGCTCGAGAGGGCGACAACAACAACGACGACGACGACAAGACATCGCAGGAGCGACAGCAACAACAGCAGCACCGCCGGCAGCGTCGGCAGCGCTACCACCTTGCAGGAGGGAGGGGAAGGAACAGGCAAGGGGAGGGACGACGAGTTTCGGCGACGACGGCGGCGGCGAAGCAGAGATGGTGTTCAGGATAGTCCGGAAGGAGGCGTTATTTTGGAGGGGGGCGACGAGACGGCGGTGGATGGCGGCTGTGGCGATGATGATGGCGAGGACGACGATGCTCACGGGGTGATGGAGGACAGCTGGGAGGTAGGCTGGCTGGTGCAGTTGGGTGGCTTCGAGAATGTTGCACGGGTGATGAGGCAACCTTGATTCTTGTTGTTGCTGTTGTTGTTGTTGTTGCTGGTGGTGTACTCTTAGAGATTATTTGGTGACAGAAGACATACTCCCTCTCTCTAGCATAAGCAAGCGGAGTTTGAGACCAACAACTGAGAATCCCCACACCCCCTCCTATCTCTTCTGAGCCACCTTTGGCAATGTAGGAAGGAACGATTGGCCATCGGTGATCGGTCCTGTGGGAACATGCTCAGTCCTCTCGAGGACGCGTGGTCAATAGTCTAAACGCTAATGCACGCAACACATAAGAGTACGCCCCCCCCCCCCCCCCCCCCCCC